AATCCATTGCTGTTTTAAATTATCGTTGGATGGAAATCTAAAACGAACATAAAAATAATTAAAATTTATTTACTTGGTAAAATAATTTAATACGTATTACGGCCCTGGATATTTGTAACGTTTAAAAAGTTATTCTATATGACGACAGATGGCGGCCAGTAAGTAATATATTGATAAAATTACTGTTTTAGATACTTAAAGTTATTTAGGAATAAGTGTATAACAGTTTTCAGTATTTACGTATGATTATTACAATATACTACTGCAAAATTATACGTAAACTTGTGTATTTTCTTCCTAAAAGTGTCGCCATCTGGTGTCAAGTAGTAGAATTTTAACGCTGATAGCTGAGGCTGAGAATGTTCTAGAAGTTATATATTTAATTACGTATAAAATTACTTACAAATGAAATGTGATGCCATCCATATTATCAGAACGTCTGTCTGAGTAACTTTGACATAGTAAAACACAAAACTTCATCCTTTTCTTATTAAAAACGCAAAAAAACACTTATAATGCGAGTCTCGTTAAGTGTGCACCTGACGAACGCTGAAAGCATACTGACTTAGGCCCCGCCCACAATGATGACGTCAGGACCTAGTTGAAAATCACAGTGCACAGTTGCTTAGGCCAGCTCCTCTTTGTTTTTCCTCCGTGGGTGTCGTCCTGATTGGCCACTATTGTACGATGACTCGATGCGATCAGCCGGCCTATATATCGCCAACTTTTTTAACATTTACAGTGTGTAACTAAACAGAAAATTGCATATCCATCGATGCTTTTCAGAGCAAGTATCTTAATGGCGTTATAATAAAGAAGAAGTTAATCACTAAATAGCTCGGTGATTATCACTTCCATCTGTCAAAAGCAGTTAGCGAATAGGCCTACTGGTCGTATGATGAAAATATTGTCGAGGGCCCGTGGTCCCACCAGTTTGTCCTACTAATCGTACGATAATTAACAACGGTGTCCTAATAGCTAGCGCGGGGCCTATTGTGCGATACTGGCGCCTAACAGGCGATTTTAGCTATTTAAAAAGAATCGTAGTCGCGCCGGTCGCCACGATTGAAGATCACTGTAATGTGAAAGAATATGTGGCGGCGACATCTACATGCCCCAGATATAATGAACATAGAGGATATAGTCACTCGCCTCCTCAAGAGATGGCGCTACCGGCGCTGCGTTCACAACGTATGGAAACCTACATCGCGCAAGAGAAATTCGGAGCCAAACACTCGATATATACGATGCCCGACCAACATCAGTTTAGTCGCGGCCCCCGAGCTACCATCACCCAGCTCGGAGGAAGATCTTCCCCTTTGGCCTTCCTACAAATATATTAGAACGCGGCGTTTATCAAATGCGGCCGAATAACCATAAGCTATGGAATTCATAAGCCAATTGCTCGGGGCTTGTAGCCAATTCTCTGCAGACCCTGAAGTCCGTATGCGATTCTGGAACCTTTTTTTATTCTTTAACCAGTGTTTCCCCCTCGCCCTGCTGGTCTCGTGTCACACGGGTTGCTGTTACCAATGCGACCAATAGGGTATTTGACAAGTTTTAAAAAACGATCTCACGTTATTGACTAATGTTTATGGATTCCGTAAAAAGTGGATATTCATCATTCTGTTGTGTATTTCAGTAAAAATAACCAAATCAAAAACTCCATTTTCAATTTTTCAAGTTGCCGCGAAAACGTTTCTCTGGACAATATGGCGCTTTACTAGTGTGTGACGTCACACGACTGTTATTAAAACGTCAAACGATACAATGTAATGTCACTTTCACCGGAAGTTTACTTGCGTGTGACGTCATTTTAGGCTCCGCCAATCCCAAGCGTCTTGGGTCACGTGACAATAGATAAGAAAACTATTATCTTTTTCGTTGGTTTTTAGTAAAATTATGAATATTTTTTTGTAAAAATAGTAAAAACCCCTGCCAATATTCATTCTTAACACAGATGCTAACAATTGGCACTTTATTTTTAACACTGTCAAATACCCTAATTAGGACACTCAAAAGGTGTATTTTATTATATGATCGTACGATAAAACCCATCATGCGACCATTATGAAACAGTTCCTTTTCTCGTACGACGGTTTATGAGCTGTAATTAGGACACTTCTGAAGAAACCAGTATGTTTGAAAATTTCCGTACGACGAGAACAAATCGTATCACGTACGATAGTTGCGATTTAGGACGAAGCAAAAGAGTTTTATAGTTACAATATAATAAATATCGCTACCGGCAACACCATCTTTATCATAAGGGCACACCGGCAGTGCCGTCTTTGACCTATTGCAGGCCCTGGGCATATTAGGATAATGGGGTCCCTATGACCCCCGTTTGGTGATCTAACAGGAACGAGGGACTTTGTATTTGATCTGAAGTGGGCCCCTATATCGATCGCGGGGCCCTGGGCACTTGCCCAAAGTGCCCACTGGAAAAGAGGGGTCTGCACACGGGGACCGTACCCATGGCCCCATCCTCAGGTGGCCTCGAAGGACCGACATTTTTTTCTATCACGGGAAAACCTGGCAATTCTGCCATACAGCACCAATTTATACCGAAATTTGAATTTGGGTTCTACTTATCCTTTACTTCAAAGTTAATGTGCCGAGAGTTCCTACTTCTTAGTCTGCGTGGAAAAATTGCTTTCCCTTACAAATTTTCACCACCCTTTTCTCCCATTTTAAGGATAAAAATGCCTTTCCATGGACTCTTATATCTCTATATCAAATTTTGTCTTAATCGGTATAGCGCCCTAAGCGCGAAGAGGTAACAGGCAGACACACATTCGCATTTATATTATTAGGAACTATGGATATTTGATTTCCCATAATAAAATAATCATGGTATAAAATTGTTCTTATAATGCTCTTTGTTTAATTTCCGAAAGGGTCCCGAATTCTTGTATGCCCAAGGGCCCAAGCATAATCTAAAAATGCCCACGGTACCGGAGAAAGTACAATATCGGAGAATCAACTTACTTAACCGTCCATAAATTACGTCATCGATTTTTTCAGATTTTAGACCCCCCCCCCCCCCCCTACAATCATCCTATCGTCATTTCTTAATGACCCCCCCCCCCCCCCTTCTCCCAAAATTGACGTCATTACCAGTTTGACAAAATTACAAACATTGCAGATTTGAGAAAAGCTAGTATTATATGTAATATTATTGTTATCTGTAGTTACTGTATTTGTATACATCTATGTTGCACTATGTATGTTTATTATGAGTTATTTTAGTATTGTACGCGCCTTAGCCGCCTCTCACATTTGCAGTCTCACTTACTAGGTGTGCTGGAAGAAATTTCTTTTTAGAAATAATCTTTTTGTACGTGAAAATTTCGAAACACCCCCCCCCCCCCCCCCCCCCGCCCTATGTATCATTTACCGTCATCCGCAGACCAATCCCCCCCCCCCCAACTTAGAATGACGTAATATATGGACGGCCCCAAGGTGTATATTAAATAAATAACTTAGCCCCAAAGTAATCACTGTAAGGCTTGTGTTATGGGATACTAGGATAATGGATAAAATACACACACTACATATATAAGTATATTTATATAGAAATACATATTAAACATCCATGACTGGAGTACAAATGCTCGTATTCATCACACAAACATCTGCCCCTAACGGGATTCGAACCCGGGAACTCTCGAGTCGGCGACACCATGAAACCCGGCGTACAAACCACTCGGCCACGGAGGTCGTCAAATAGTATTACCAAGCTTGCCAATTTACCTACTCTCAAAATGAGGATCTGCATAGACAAGGGCCTTTTGTCCGTAGAGTGCAAGGGGTTTCTGGCTGTTCAGCAGAACAGTACTGAAAAGTGTTTATTTGGCTATGCCCAAATTATGCCTTAATTCTCAACAGGGTCAAATCTTAAATCCCACTTAAGTAAACAAAACCAGACGCCTTCACCAACACTTAATACTATTTGGTGTGGAGATTTTTCAATAGAGATAGGGTTTTTTAATAGAATAGAAAGTCCGTATATTCGTAATTACTTTTAGAAAACAGTTTCGGCAGAAGAATATTATTAATTCTTTTTTTGAAACCGGTTGTGTAATCGGAGTAATATTTCGGTTTTCGAAAACAGTTATGGTATATAGGTACAATATTTATAATTCTTGTATCGAAACTTAGTGATAAAAATATAAAATTTTCTTTGATTCGAATTAATTTAAAATTATGTCGAAATTCTTATCTATTTATTAAAATGTTCCGGACATTTCAAAAATGAAATTTGTGTTAATAACAAAAAGGAGAGTAGAAAAAAAATTTTTTTTCATTGCGGTCCCACCATACCACTCGCCATGCCCCTGCTAATATGATGATACAATATTGTCGTGGTAAACTAGTTTATTACAAATATAAATATGTCACATCCGTTAAATACTCGTATTAAGCAGTTAGACTTCAACAATTAAGTTCGGAATATTTTCAAGGCATGGTCCCTGGAAAATGGAAAAAGCGCAAACATTTTGCGGTTAGTTGGCAGCCAGATATGTTCACCTGCTAGGATTGCGCAAACGTTGATTACATAAAGGGGACCCGGCACTTTTCATAGAAAAAATGCTAAACTTGTATACAGTTGAATTTGGTCTCAAATTATTTTGAGCCAAAATTATTTGCTACATAAAACTACTTTTGCCTTATTTTTAGTGAATCGTGGAAAGAAGTTATTTGATGATTAATATTTTTTGATATAGAAACCCTTTTGATGACAAACCTACGTATTTGACATTGACAGCTAGCTGCTGATGACAAATATTGCCAGACTATGTTACCCAATTATGAAACACAGATAAAAAAATTAAAAAAGTATACAACTTTGGCACAAAATGCCGGGTGTCATTTAGAATCAATATAAGGTATCAAAACGATTTCCAGCATCCTGTAAAAATGAATACCTCAATTATTATTTTTTTATCTTATTTCCTAGGCCTTTTATTTGAAAACGACAAAATTTTTATGAAAAAAATTTGTATTTTTATGAAAAAAAAAACAGGAAAATTTAAACGACTGGTGCACATTTCAATTATTATAGCTTTTTTTATTGTTTAAACGGTTACTTCAGCACTTTCACTTCTCCTTTTAATTAAAAATTTGGCAAAATCGTCATTCTCCGGGTCGAAAGAGCATACTTTTTCGCATTGAGCAGCAGTGGCTACTTGCGCGATCTGGTCTCCATATGCCTTCACATCATCCCTCTTCAGTTCTACCATGTGGTTGCGTGACTCCATGATCACTATAGCGTCATCGCGAGCCATCGACCAGACGCTCGGTCGTAGGCGTGATACCATATTATGTCCAAGATACACCCCATGAAACAAACCTTGGAACTGTGGCTTATGAGGATAGTGCTCCAAAGCTGAAAGTGACAAAAAGTGGATCTTGCCATAATCCACGTCTAGATAAGTATTCCGATCTTCGCGAAGGAGCAGCGGTACCTCCGGGCCACATTCAGACATCTTCGCGTCGAACTGGCCCATCACCATCATTCCTAAATTCTTATCTTTCTCCAAATTCATAGCGCAAATGTCGAATTTCTGGCGATTCTCTAACTCGTACAACATTCGCATCACGTTACGTTCAGACACGTCAGTCGCCCTTTTGTAATTCGTACCGTGCGACGACTGCAGCATGTCTTTATCGTCACAATCCAAACCAAATGCTACGTAAGGTGGGGACACTATGTCACCCAGATAACCCCGATGGAGATATCTGTCGCCGCATTTACACACGCCCGCTGCCAAACTCACATTCGGTCTGCACACTTCAGACTCCAGCCATGTGAAGGCTACCCCATGCTCTCTAAAATGCTTGTACTCTTGAAAGCATATCTGACTAGCATTCTCTTTCAAACGCATGTGGTAATCCCAATCGAATACGCCAGCCCTGTTGTCATATCTCACTCCAAGACTGTGTCTTATCCGGTGTTCCCACAGCTCGACAGCGTTGAACTGATTCGTATTGCCTGTAGTCCAAAAGTTGAATAGACTCTCCAAATAGTCTCGCTCTCTGTATTTCATTTGATCGATCGAAACGCAGGGCAGCAGGCAATTCATATAATCTGGGTTTGTAATCATACTTTCAAGTTGACGAGCTTTTGCTATAAGATATCTGGATGTGGGTGGCCTCAGAAGGATATTTCCGTAGACCTCCAGCCATCGTCTCGTCTTTTCTAGTAAGCCTACCCTTGTTGTCTTTTCCAAGGCCAGGGACATTAGCAGCAGTTGCCTGGCGATGAGTTCGGAGCAACCATCGATGACGAAGATGTTCATGTAACGCCTGGTGTGACGATAAGCTTGAGCCATGGTTTTCAATAGATGCCGACCATCGCATCCTCCGATGACGAGGAAATTAAGTTCATAAGCGTTTTCGTCGCCATATCTGAGGTATTCTTGCTGAAGATCGAGGGCAGGGCTGACACCCCAGAACATATTTTTCCAGTTTCACTTCAATCTCGCGTTTACACTTCCACACACGGCCAAGGAATAACGTTGACAATGTCATGGTAACGTTCACGAGAAAATAAACGAGGCGTGGTATATTCACGTGCCGATAAGGGCGTTGCCATAGTAACGATCTATTTATGCAGTGTTTACCGCCAATAAAATAAATCAGGTTGGTTTGTCTATCAGCTTTAATTGAATTGTTGAACTCTAATAATAACAAACATTACAAAACATAATAAATAACATGGTCATATAATGTAATTAATAACTATTTCTCTTATTTTTATAAACAAAACTGACAAAGAACTTTTTTATAACTCCTGAATATTTCAGGAGGATTTTCAGTTTTCTATAATCAAAACGTAGTGATGTTATTTTCACATATATATATGTTGATATATCAAAATATTATTCAAACATAGGTAATGTAATTTTTAACAAACAAACCCATGAGTTTATCACAAAGCAAATACTATTGATTTTCACTCGTTCAAGGGCCCTTGATGCAAAATTAATTAAGTATAAATAATCTCTGGGTCTTGCACTGATCACTACGTCATTCGTTCGTTAAAAATAATAATAACCTCAACAAACCAAACATCTCTCTTTATGGTGACTACAAACATATTGCTGTTTAAATTTCAACATAATTAACAGATAATAATATCAAAACCATAATGTACTAATTGCAATCTTAACCTACTCAAACATAATTAACACAAATTAACACAACGGACCAGGCGGGATTCGAACCCGCACCCTTCGCTATCCGGGCGAATGCACTGACTATTATGCTACCAGTATTCTAAGTACAAGTTTGTGCTCACGAAAACTATCATAGTTTTCGTAATTGTAAATTATGTTTGTATGTCCATTTTGGTGAAAACTTACCAAATATACTTAAAATTTAAGAAGACACAAATGATTTAATGAAAGAATTTAAACACTGTTTATTTGTATTGAAACGAAAACAATAAAATCAGTACACTTAGTATGAGTGCGAGCTCACGAAAACTATCATAGTTTTCGTAATTGTAAAATGCGTACTAAGGGTACAGGACCGGGGCACGGTAATATTATCTATACAGTATTGTGACTTCGCCCTGTCCTTGAAAATAATGCCTACGCCGAGCGCTGCATTAGCACGCGGTAGGGCCGCCCGCCTACAGTATTTTATGTAGTTTTTTTTTTAACGCGAGTGTAGGTAGATTACTCGTTTGTCTCTTTTTTCATCCTAACCACTTATTTATATATTATTCCAGATATTTTGCCCGATGGAAAAACCGAAATACCTAAATATTAGAAACAAATTACGTACTAGTAGATAGGTATATAAAAAATATTCTATAAAGGTAAGACACCTTTCCATATATTCATATTTCAGGTAATTTAAAAAATGATATCTCTGGGTGTGTTATTGAAGAGTTCAAGCAACCAAAAACAGCAATTGTGCTGTTGTACGATATTGATCATCGTTTGTTCCTTTCCATACTAAATTATGTAGGTATCTACTTAATTAAATCAAATATTTACAATACAAAACGCACGTTTAAGCACGGCTAACTGCATAAAAAACAATTCAGACCGTTCGGTCGTCGTTGCGGCGCGGCGGCGCATTCGCGACTGGGTGCCCGCCGAGAGCCCATCGAACTCGAGTGGCGTAGGTATGACTCGCTTTCCGACCGTTTGTATGAAGATAGAATACTGTATGATATTATTACCGTGACTGGTACCAGGGCCGCGGCCGTCTACTGCCTGGCCCGCGTAGATTTTTTTTTAATTTTCTTAAGATTTAAACATTGAGCAGTTACTCTTATCTATTCTTAAAATAATGTAATTAAAAAATACTTTAAAATAAACTTAGAAATTTACCTTTTTTGTCACAATACTTCCCCTTCTTATCACTAAGAATGTCATGACAGCGTTCAAGAAAAAAGAACATCAAAAATACTACATAGTAATGGCTGACCATATAATAGATACGTAAATAAAACACATTATTAATTATAGACATCCGCACTTAACCGAAGACCGAATCCGAATTCGATATTACTTACTTACCGAAAATAAAAACATTTAAAACTGCCCGACACCAGCAATAGGGATGATGACTCGCTTATTTTGCTTTGCAGTTAGAATATTTAAAGAGTACACGTATTTTTTCTTTGTTCACATAATCAAAACATAACAGAGATATATAGGTATATTGTTAAAATTTCATATGACGTCACCACGTCTTCCACACAATTAATACAAGAAACAAAAATAAACTAACTTTACCTGCTACTAGGCTTCACAAAATTAATAATTCATTTAAAGGTCTTTGTGTTCGCTTATACAATAAAGGACATTGCTCGTTCCCCATACATTGAATGCCCTAGAACGCCCAGCAATGAGAAAATGCTAGTTGTGTTCGGAATCATTCATAAACTCTAAATAAGCATTTGTTGAGATACGGACAACTTGAGGAACCGTGGCCTACTACAGAATGTATTAGATTTTGAGGTTATAATTATTATACTTAATCATAAAAGATGTACACTTTATATATTCTGAATAGATTTAGTGTTTACCTCTATGTAAGCACTTAAATAATATGCATTAAATGAACATAAAATGCAATTTATAATAAAAATAATAAATGCTTATATTCTTATTGATTTTACCTGTAGTAAGTAATGATAGATTTCTTTTCAAATGAAATGTTCAGTCTTTCCATTTACCTGTTTCTATATTTTACTAACGGTAATTAGGTATGTACCTGGTTACCATTACGATTTTCATAAAAATAAACAGATATTACATGGGATGGGAGTATAAACTATCTTTAGATAATTTCAGAAATAATCTTTTTATAAATATAATATAAATACTAGTAATAAGTATTATTAACTAAGGTACCTAGTTCTATTTTTATGTTGATAAATACCTATGGTCGCCTATATTGCATAACTAAGGTAAACAATCTTGGCACAACTTTTTAACAGAATCACCCATTTAATAATAAAATATTGACGAAGAAAATAAACTATTAAAATAAATCGTTATTATAGACTGAAACCTATTGAATCCAGTTATCAGTTGATTTTTAATGCTGTATTTTCAATAAAAAGGAGTGCCAAGTTGGATGAACAGACTGTAGTATCTAGTAAGAGAACTTTTATTTTTTAAACAGATTGTCCGTTTACTATGATTAATTGCTAATAAGTTAAAAAAATAATAGAAAAATAATAGTGAAGGACATTCTTTTGGGCATGCTAGGGCCGAATTCGTCGATATCCTTTAAGAAAAATTTAATAATTCCAAGAGTTAATAAATTTAAAGATATTATAAAAAAAACAATTATTAAAAAAGCTTATTACAAAGTGTCTGATTATATTACAGACAAAAATGCTTGGGTTTGAACTGTTCCAATCATTCCAACAGGTTTTCTATATGAAATAAATCATAATTGTATTGACGTTGTAACAACATAATTATTTGTAAATGTTGTTACATTAGACTTTTAATGTTGTGGAGTTTTTTTCGCTCGTTTTCTCCGCAGCTAAAAAATATGTCCATAACGAGTGGTAGGGAAAAAAATTTTTGGACGATTCAAAAGAGTTGTATTATACATCCAATTTGAATAAAGATATATTGATTTCTGATTTCTGACTTAGAATTGATGTCACGACTTCCAAACTTTGGCGCGTATAATCTTTGTAATTGTTTGGTTGATTGAATTGAAGAAAAAATGAGTTTTTCAATATTTTTTGGATAATCTAACTCACGGACTACATAGATTCGTTTGCGTTCATCATCGCTATTGTTTTGAGTCATGAAACGATATCCGAGTACGTTGTAAAGCCTCGATGACACGGGGCGAGTTACAAGCTACAAATAAAACTAGTTATTACGGGTTAATGCACGAAACTTTATTTATTTATCCCCTCACCCCTAATGCACCGCTAGATTAGATTTTAGATTTGATAAACCACAGATCCTTGCAACTGAGCAACGATTCCTTCCTAGAATGATGCGCGAGGCTATTGAGATTAAAAAAAATCCAAATTTCAATAGTTGGTATATACACACCAGCTTGGGAACCCATTATACAGGAGGTAAAATCCCAACCCCGAGCACACACTGCAAGACCAACAGATACTATTAGTTCTTTTTGTTTGCATAATTTAACATAAGAAGGAGATAGAAAGCCTCTCTTGAGTTTGTTTCGCCGGTTCTTCTCAGAAAGGTCTCCCAATTTTGGAACCGGTGGTAGTTTACGGTAGTTAGGGTCAAATAAATAAACTCAAAATTACAAAAAAGAAATTTAAATAAAATACTTTATTAAGTAAATTAAATAATAAATTCATACATAGACAATAAATCTTTAAAAATCGAACAATGAAATAACCGAACGCTCAATAAAAGCCTTTCGAAGGTAGCTCGACAAATTAAATAAAAGTTTGATTCTGACGACGTAGCCTGTAAAGGCTACGAAACGTCAATAAATAAATAAAGTTTTGTGCATTAACCCGTAGTAACTAGTTTTATTTAATGAGTGATGTGCGTGAAAACCTTAGAAACAAATATACAAGCTACAAGCTAGGCGAGTTCGCTAGCAGCTTGTACCTAATACGGGATGAGTTCACAAGCTACTAGTGAACTCGCTGGCTTGTAGCTTGTAAACTCGCCTCGTGTCACATCGAGGCTTAAGACTTTTACTAGGTACGATTTTTCCCCCTCCAGGGGGCCATTCGCCTAACGGAAATGCTTTGGAAAACGCTAACGCTTACGATTTCATTTTGTTATTTCTAGCCACCTGAGGTTTTCAAATGCCTCGCGCTCTTTTTTCTTTTGCATTGGTAATAACAATATTAAAAAAAAAATGATCGTGAAGTATTTGAAAACCTTCGGCGGTCAGAAATAACAAAATAAAATCGAAAGCGTTAGTGTTTTCCAAAGCATTTCCGTTAGGCGAATGGTCCCCAGGCCAGCGTAACAGGCAGAAAAATCATATATTATTTCCTAATACCTATATGAATATTTAACACCACCCAGCGTGTCAGTGATAAGTATCAAATAATACACTCTGATACTTGATCAATATATCCAAATGTAAAAGTCTGACTAGCTTGTTCATAAATAGCTCCATCTAGCGACCGGACGTAACTACGCGCAAACAAAGGCGTGCTTCATCTGGCAACAATTTCTCACCAATAGGAGAAGCTATCACCGGAAGGGACGAGATGGCGCTGTATATCAAAATTTTATATATATATTTTTTGGCCAGGGAGTCGCTCAACTACAACTCCTTAATATTAGACATACCGAGTAACTGCGGGTTACTTTGACCTAAAATGAGCACTTTTTTTTCAAATTAAAATTGTAGCTTCTCTTTGTGATGAATATGTCACGTTTATATCTTTCCATTGTGAACTTTAAAGTATAAGTTACAAAGTTATCATACGAATATAGGAAAAAATAATATTTAAGGGTTCATAAATATTTTTTTTAATTTTGGGCCAACATTGGCCTTATAGAGGGTTACTTTAGCTCGTTGAGTTTTCTCTGTGAAAAAAACTCATTTTATGCCATGTTGGGGTTAAGTAACCCTTATAACAGATCACTATTAGCATACTGTATACACAAATGGATGCTTTTACCCAAAAATAATTAAGTTAAAGAAAAAATTGTAAACTTACCGAAAACCACAGTTTTGAAAAGTTTGCGCATTAACTTGCGAACTATTTCAGTTACAAAAAATCCCGCGTTACAATGACAATTTGATACAGGAACGATGTCGGTAAAACAACACCACACTACGCGACTATATGGCTATCTGTGATTTTCAACTGGAACTATTACGGTCACCCAAGAGATACTGATGATGGGGCGGCAAGTTCAATATTTTTTCTGATTTGGGACAAAGTTACCCTCCCGAGCTAAAGTAACCCTCACTTACGGTATACATATTCAAATAATGTAACGGAAGTTGAGAAATACATTTTATTTATTTATTAGAGAAGTCGCTTTATTTTCTCAAACAATATACAAACTAATTAACAATAATAAATAGGTATTAATTATAAACGGCTTTCTGACAAAAGTTCACCAGAGGCATCGTCATTCAAACGAACAGGAGTAGAGACATAGAATCGGGATTTCGATGTTCGAATTCTCCTTTTATCCCTATCATTATTAAAGGTGGAATTTCTAATTTTCTGGCCCCTGAATAGAACCATCCACAAGTTTCTAGTCTTAGAAGTTGCCAGAACAAAGAACACGAACAGTACGAAACCTTGAAAAGATGTCGTCAATGTAAATAGATAAGCCGCAACAATATTAAACGCGAACACACCAAATATCCACGGTATCCCACACAAAAAGGCAAGTAGGCAACTGGCTGAAACACTTCTAAAGCCATCTTTTGTATTACTATGTCGCCGAACACTAGGATCATCCTTATACATATTGTATGTAATTATCAAGTAAAGCGTCCAGTTCACAAACCAAATAACCGAAATGGGACCGTAAAGCGTTAACCAAATAGCCAAGCCTGACGGGTAACAGAAATGTGTACTTGGTGCTTTCTCCTCATATTCCTTTGAATAAGCCTTCGGGTCTACTGCGAGAAGTATACCGATTATCGCAAATGGAAATCCCCATGCGAAACCAGATACAATCCATAATTTCTTTCGTATTTCTTTAGCGAAAACTAAAACCAATTTCCTATATGATAACACAGCTATAACTAACATCCAGCAGAACGTCGCTAAAACAGAATAATGCAATGATATTCCTACTAATAAACATCCTACATCGTTTTGTTCGAATCTGACAAGGACGATTACAAGGAAGCAAATATCTAAAACAAACACAGCGGCACATAGATGTAGCCATATCTTGTTACTCTCGTTTACCCTCCATGATTTGAATATGAGGGCCGTTAATGCGATAATAGTAATGCCAAATAAGGAAAAGCTATTTCCAACTACTGATATTATCTGTAATGCGTTTTCATGAAACTCGGAGAAAAAGTCCCTACTTGCAATTATAAGCGCAAAATGTGTGACGTGGTCACACCTACAGATGTCCAATTCGTAGTTCCGAGTGGCCTTAATGAATTCACATCCGTCTTTTGACCAAAACCCAGTTCCATTGTCTGCGAACTTCCAGTATGCACATGTCCTGGACTCATTGCGACGTAAATCTTTTCGGAATGGTCGTAAGTGAATGTCTATCACCTGTAAAATAAAATTTAGATAGGTATAGAAGTTCTAAAACTTATTACGTAATAAGGTTTATTTATTTTAACTGAATAAACTACAAAAACTTTTTTACTACTCCCACAAAATGCTATCTATTATATAAAACTCAAAGGTGACTGACATAGTGATCTATCAACGCACAGCCCAAACCACTGGCCGGATCGGGCTGAAATTTGGCATGCAGATAGATGTTATGACGTAGGCATAAGCTAAGAAAGGATTTTGATCAATTCTACCCCCAAGGGGATAAAATAGGGAATGAAAGTTTGTATGAAACTTTGTCAATTTTAAACCGATCGGGCTGAGACTTTGCATGCAGGTATAAGAAGAATCATAGATGAATGTCATTGTGTATAATACTAGCCTGAGAACAAAAACTGTAGTCTACACTTCAGCTCTACACCGAAGCGAAGCGAGGGCGGGCCGCTAGTATTATATAAAATCGTATACCTATGTGCCCGTTCCTAATGTAAATTTATTTATTATTAAATACGCTGAGAGAGATAAGTTCCGGGAACATATTTGGGGTATTGGCTGACTACTTGCCACATTAATTTACATTATAAACAAATGAAAATAAAACTGATAGTCCAGTTTAATTAATGTCTACAAACTAAACAAATGAAGTGAGGTGAGTGAGATTTAGTAGGTATTGTGAATTATATTATCCTATATTATGCTATCGCGCGGTTGGTTTTCGGTCGCATAAAAAATATAGACAGCCTTAGACCATTAATGGTCTAAGTAGATAGCATTAAAGGCGATAGATAAAGAACTGAGGTTCCTAGTTTGTCCATTCTTGATCAGATTGTGGATTAGTCTGAAAAGTTAAAAAAATAATCTAACAGCCGCTCAGATACATCGATAAATATTTAAGTTTGATTGATTCGAGGCTGTTACTGTGTGTGCTATAGCTATAAAATGAGCCAAAATAATGGCTCAGCGAACACCATGAGAGGCGCAGTGAAGATACTTAGAAGCTAACAATTTCAGCTAAATCCTAATTCATATATCATAAGTTTAAAAATTTCATGGCAAAGATGAAGAAATACAGAATATAAGCTGCGAAGCAGCCACAAGAGCCGGTGCGCGACCACTCCGCTCTGTGGCTCTATGCCGCGCTCAAAGTCGGAGCGCGCCGCTCCGCGACTCTAATCCGCGCTCAAAGTCGCAGCGTGCGGCTCCGTGGCTCTAGGCCGCGCTCAAAGTGGGAGCGCGCTGCTCCGTGGCTCTAACCCGCGCTCAAAATCGCAGCGTGCGGCTCCGTGGCTCTAGGCCGCGCTCAGTCGGAGCGCGCTGCTCCGTGGCTCTAACCCGCGCTCAAAGTCGCAGCGTGCGGCTCCGTGGCTTTAGGCCGCGCTCAAAGTCGGAGCGCGCTGCTCCGTGACTCTAACCCGCGCTCAAAATCGCAGCGCGCGGCTCCGTGGCTCTAGGTCACGCTCAAAGTCGGAGCGCGCTGTTCCGTGGCTCTAACCCGCACTCAAAGTCGCGGCTCCGTGACTGTAGGCCACACTCAAAGGCGCCGCGCGCCGCTCTGTGGCTCTAAGCCGCGCTCGGAGTCACCCCGCTTAGTATCTTAGCCGCGCCTCTCCCGGTGTGCGCTGTACCTAAGGTACCCAAATTCTATAGTTTTCGAACCTCTCCCGGAGCCAGGCTGGTGAAGTTCTTGACGTTCACACTAAGAACATGGCTGTTGACGACAGTGCAGTCGGACTGATGGAACGCGCGTCCGTTCCTGAATACCACGAAGCTGATGCGCCGTGAGGAAGCAGTCACGGAGGGAGGCAGAAATACTAGCGCATTTGTATCTTCAGACAGTGAGGACTCGCCATCTGAAATAATAAGGATGTTGCCGAGCGTCTGTTTGACATGTTTGTTTTATGTTATTTCATAGAGCAACGCTGTGTGACTCACACAGTGTGAGGAGGGCGGCGGGTTTCTATGAAATTACTAAAAACCGCACGCCGAGCGGTTGCTTCGTGACCTGCTTAAGGCAACGCACGCTCTTAGTCCGTCAGTTAATTATCAAAAAAATATGGACTCACAAGGTTGTCATCATCCCTCTTGATCTAATATCGGAATGATGTTAGTACTTGAGATCACTACTTGCACCAAAGTTATTAATTCAAATTGAAAAGCTAAACACGTTAAGCCCCGTTTTATATTAGGGAGATTCATCGGCCTGGCACCATTCTCTCTCTTTTTGACGCTAAAAAATTACAAAGACGGAGTACACAATTAAACCTTAATTAGAATTAATTCGGTGCAATGGGGCCTAAGCTAATTAAAGTTCTTTTTTTAGAAAACTGTAGGCAACATAAGCAACAGTTTTTATAAATATTTCTACTTCCGCACCTGCTAGTTTATTTAATGCGAGAGATACCATGCATTATACTGTTTTCCTTTCACTCTCATTGTAAGCTGAAAATTCCTTTGATGAGTCTCACTTGTAATAAAATCGAAGGACTTATTCCGGAATCCTCCATGTCCGTTAGCGGAGACCCTCATGCCTTGGACAGGGTTATCCGGCCTGGTATCTGCCACCAGCAGCGCCACATTGTCTCGCACTGCGGTGGCAGTGCCTTTCCCCTCCAGGATCACCCTTCCCCCGATCTCATCCAGCATGTGGAGCAGCTCACCAGGTATCTTCACAGCATTTTCATCTTCCAAAAGTTGGTCCACCTGAAACGTGGAGAAATATAAAGGCAGCTGTCTCACCGCCGGCGAGGAAGCGACTAATCATTGGCTCTTTTCCCACTCAAGCGCATCCCATCCCTCTGCGAAAATCTGCGAATCCCGTCTGATGCCTGGACCGCATGGAATTTTTCCTATTATAAAAATAGTCTTCTCATTAATAAATCTAGCTTTTATTTATAATAAGAAAAGCGTTTAAATTAAATGTACTATTGTAAATTAAATGTACTTTGTACTATATTTTATGTTGTCTGATCAAAAATAAGAACTGCCTTTTATAAGCTTAGACCCTTTATAAAATAAGAGCGTATATCAAAGAGGATCTGCGGTTGCATCTAACAGACCTGCTATTACTCTCCGCATTTAACTACTTGTAAATGTACTTTGGACTATATTTTATGTTGTCTGATCAAAAATAAAGAACAAAATACCTGATCAAAGGCGTGATGCATTGGTTCGGCTGTAAACGGCAGAGTTTCATTTTGAAGCAATGATCCTAGATCATCCAAAACCTGCTGCATATTATTGTCGCTGGAAATCTGAAAATGCTTAATCACGATACACAATTACTTTTTCACGTTTCACATTCTAAAATAAAACTTTTGAGAATCTGAAACGGTAGTAGATTATTTGACACAAGATAGATACCCGTAATTTTATCATTTACTATAAGAGACAGATAGCCGAACGGTAACGGTCTTGGGGTTACCTAATGATCGGTATTTCGATCATGAGCTTGGTTATTTTTTTTAAATGTTTGTCTTTCTTTTATTAAGGTTATTATTTATTTTTCGAAATAATTTAAGAATCCATCCATACATTAATCAATTTCATTTCAATTGCCCAGTATTTTACAATACCTGAATAAGTAGTTAAGTATTAAACATTTGGTAGGTGCCTAAGCTGTTTATTAATACACGTTTGGTTTTTTTATATCAACAATCCTTACCTTTCCAATGTAAAAAAAACCTACAATAAGAAAAACATAACAAAGGAAATAAAAAAAAATAGCTGGTAACAAATAAAACTTTTACGTGTTCACATTTTTGTAGGTTTTTAATTGTAACGCAAATAAAACTATGATCTTTTCACATCATTAATACGGGTAAATCTTGAAGAACATGTGGATATATCACACTTTAAGATTAAATAATGAGTGTTTTCTACAAAATTGGGACCATTTCGGTTGAAACGTCCACGTGTCCACGGGGTGTCCACTCTGAAAAAACATCGATGTATTTTTTCATTCGATACATCGCAACTATATATCGATGTCAATAGATGTATCGGAGGAAAACATAGATTTATTTCAAACATCGAGTACTTTTTCTTAAATTTAAAAAAAATGGTTGCCTGTAAAGTCGGTTTTACGGGCGAAGATTTTACGTGACAACGTCTTTTTCTCGGTAGAATATTTATTGATATGAATATAATTAAATTGCACAATAGGAACAAGGAATTGAATGAAAATAAGAATTGCACAAATTTTAACTATAGAAATATATTTTGTTTACTAAAACATTGTACATGTAAACTTAAACTTAACACGAGAGACTCATCGTAACGTTACCGAGCGTTACACTTTTTCATAAGTGACTCCCAGCCGCAACCTAATTTAAGACGTTGTCACGTCAAAAAATTGCTGTCTGTCAATAGAATATTAGAAATATACTTCAATCTCAGTTTGTTTCACAAAACCAAAGGTTATTAAATGTTTTTAAACATAGAAACTCGTAGTTATTTTTTATTGTCACTGCACTGACTCTTGCGCAGTGCTGCCAACATCGGAGCCATATCAGAGAATTCGGAATGCTTTCATAACAGTAAGTAAAATTTTAGTGGTCAAATTTAAGTTTTTTTTACTGAGGTTAAACCAAAAAGAGGATATTATCACTACGTGGTCAAACTGTATTACCAATTCGATGTTTTTTTTAAACATCGATGCATCAAGTATATTGAAAGCTTTTCAAAACATCGGATCGATTCGATGTTTTTCATTGCAAACATCGATGTTTTCGATGCATCGATGTATATCGAATATCCCTACGTCCACGGCGTCGTCACCATAAAGGTAGGAACAAACTGAGCCCAGGTACGCAACGTATACAATGCAACGTGAGAGAGATAGTGTGCACACTTGGCCCACGTATACGACGTATATTGACATCAGACGCTGTTGTTAATATCTTCAGGTGCACAATGTTTACGGAGTCTGACAGTGAATTCGAGGACGATTTATTACGTTTGTTATATTTAAATGTATATTTCCGCGCCAAAAAACAGTTAAGACAAGATATTGGGTTCATGAGATAAAGAAAGAGAAAATGTTGGTGAATACCATACATTATTAAAGAAATTGGTATGTGATGAAGAGCGATTCTTTATGTACTTCCACATGTCTAAAGTACAGTTTGAGGAGATTCATAACATTATTGATTGCTTCATGTCACCTAACCAAATCTATGAGTTGTTCGTCTCCCATTTTTATCCAAGGTAAATACAACCCGCTACACGTCAAATCGGTGTCTGACGCGCTGCGAACGTAAGATCTAGAAACTCACTAGTCGTACGCGCGGGATAGCGTATGATTATCCCCTCCACGTTCCCACGCCGATCTGGCGCGACAGATCGAACGTTGCATGGGACGCGTGTGACAGCGTTGCGTATGACAAGTGTGTTTCCAAGTCATATGTTTTAATCAAGAAGCTTATATACACACGCTTATATAACTCAAAGTAGTTGGTTAGAATTTGTCACACTCATCTTATAATAGTAATACAAGAGTAGGACTTCCGGAGATTGTAAAACTGATTGATATCTTGCATAGTTCTGTTTATTTTCACTGTCTGATTGGAATTTCTGGTATTTAACATGGTAATTTCAGATAGTGTGTGAGAGAGATAAAAAACATATCATGGGGTTAATGAACTCATCTTCATACAGAAGTTCTACATGCAATCTCCAGTGTTGTATATAAGCTTCTTGGTTTTAATACAAATTTCGTAGTTTAGATGTCATAATGCGTAGCATACGTTGCATACGTGGGCTCAGTTTGTCCCTAGCTTTATTCGCGGAGGGCGTACTTCAAACTGATGTAAAAAAAATCTAAAGTTCAGAGAGCACTGCATTTTTATTCACAACTCCAACTACATAGTTTGCTTAAACTAAAAGCATGCTTTCTATAGCGAGCTAATGAGCAGAACCACAGCCACAGAGGACACTCAAGACAAGTGTTCTCGGACGTTTGAGTGGAAAACTTTTATGACACTCAAGTGTCATAGGACGTTTTAAAGGTACTAAGCTTGAGAAAAGGCATTACATCAACCGTGGTGTTTTACGTTTATACGTGTACGTATTATACGTTTGTAGAGATTTTTCATCATTTTTATATCTAACGCAAGAGCAAGGCAGTGTTTTTTATAATCAATCAACCCCGCAATCTCGCGGGGTACCAGATTCGATCTCCGGTCGGGTGAACTTATAAAATTAGCTTTTTTTTTATTTTCTCGGGTGTAGCTAATTATTTTATATATATAGTTTTTTCTGATTCTCTTAATACAAAAGCTTCAATTAATTAATTTTGAATAGTAAAATATTACTAATTAATATTTAATATTATTAATTATTATTATTAATTACATAATAATGTACCTATATGATATTGTACAATATTTATTTAATGGATATCGTCTGATACGAGTATATTTCTACAGTTTATTTCTTGCTCGTTAATCGCTACACAGCTTTTATCTAATCTTTGTAAAATATATAAAGAAATATATTCGATTTAGAAAGTCGTTTTAGTGCCGCCATCTATCGAGAAATTGAGCATTTTCTTATACGATTATGGCAGTGCTGTTGTAGCAAGACTAGCATAAAATCATGCGTGCTTTACATTATACATATAACCTTTAAAAGAGCTTAAAATTTCTTAGATGGGGCGTGCGCTCGCAAGTACATTTATGAAACTTGGTGTCTAATAAGTAATAAAGCTTATTTTTGTTTGCGAAAAATATAACTTAAATTAAATAGTATATTAATATTTCATTTAAAGCGTTTAGTTTAATAATGTCTCTGAACATAACGCACATCTTATTTTTTTCTTTTATTAAGCTCATTATGTGTAGAATATTTTTACTTTGACTTTGATTAATTTTTCGAAACAATTTAAGTATAAAATATGTAATTTTGAACTAGAGATTTGAATTTTAACACATAGTCATGAAGGTCTTTTACTTGTTCACATCTTTGTAAGTTTCACTTCTATCGCATGTGAACAGCACAATACGTCCGTTATTTTATGTTTACATTTTAAATTTAAAGCAATAAGGTTGCAGTCGCTTTATAAAAAAGCTTTTGAATGTTCTATCGGTGAGCATAGCTTTTACGTTTTCACGAGATAGAGACCTATTTTGGTAGAGCCCAAACGGGGATTTTGGGATTAAGTCGAGCGCTTCAGAATAACATAAGGGGACAACCTAGCATCTTGCAAGGTACTCCTACTATGCCTGAGCAATTTATATAGGGCCGAACGTCTAGGGCAGCAAAACAATTTTTTCAACATTCGGCCATGACTTTTGGCGCGTTCAGGAGCTCTATTTTTGAATCACACGCCTGACATAGTATCGTCGAATGCGACATAAGTCACCTTCGACTTTCAAGTCGCATAATACTGATTTTCCTTATTTTTTGAATCATTCGTCACCGTGTTAACTGTTTAATAAGAAAAATAAAATTTTACTCAGTTCACGCAGAAAAAATAAAAGCCGGCAATTACCGCAATGAAAATCGAACAAAAAATTCTCGTTGTCGTTTCATATAAAGCATGGCAATGTTAGATTATCGTCGTCTAATAGCACAAAAATTTGACAATTATTCTATCATTCGCCTCCACCATTCGCCAAGCAGCGAGTGGTCTCACCCATTCGTTGCACTCGAGCGATTCAAATATACGGAATTAATTATGTCGAATGAAATTTAGTACAAATCGAGCGTTCGACGCAAAACGAGTGATTCGAAATAGAGCTCCTGAGCGCTTCCTAATCGTCAGTCCTTTGAATAGGAGCTAGTAGGAGACGATCAAAGGGACGGCAAAGTTCTCCAATAAGGGTTCCGTTGTTTCTTTTGAATTACGGAACCCTAAGAATAAATATAATAGAAAAATGCTTTAAGGTTAATAACTTACCTCTTGTGAGCTTTCTTTGGTATAGATGTAATCAATCTGAGGTTCCTGGGTTGTCCATTCTTTATCAGATTGTGGATTAGTCTTAAATGAATGAAAAAAAAACTTATAGCCACTCAGAGACATCTATTAATTTTCGAAGTTTTATTGAGTTCTGGTAATGAAGCAAGACGGCACGTCACAAGCATTGAATTTAATAAGCGTCTCTGAGGTTGGCTGTTAGTTGGTTAAATTTAAATAAAATTTAAATTAAGTGTGTTCACGTACGTAGAAACTCTTAAAAAATATCTATGTCATAAAAAATATCTAAAACAAATATTCAACAAGTTTTAATTGACATGTTAACTTACTCCTAAAGCTATCCATCTAAGAGTACAGGTGGATGAATCCTGAGAGAAAATTATCAAAATGCAAGCCTTTCCGTATAACGGTTCAAACATATCTACTGCCACCAAATTGCTGTCGATTTGGTCTTCACTGATCTCTGGAATAGCAAAACATAATATGAAATTTGGCACGTGGCAAAGGGCTAAGCAAAAGAAAGCGCGGTCTTTGTGCTTACAAAATAAGCGAATCTCCCTATTTCATTCATAGTAAAGGCCTGTGTATTGGCTCGTCGCCACGTGTCCCATCTGGACTTTAACGACTCTTTGGTTGATAGATTAATTACATATGTAGCATCATCGGTATCTCTTATCTATTAGACAAGTCCGTCTGTCTGTGGTGCTGTTTCAGCGGCCAAACCGTAAGAGATAGATAAAGAGAATATTTAAGTTATAAGTTAAGAATAATCTGATAAGACTACACACCGGATTTGAGTAACGTAGCACTTCCGGTTTTCGAGAAATCAGGTTTTGGTGAACATTTGGTTCACTGGTTTGCTAGTTATATTATAAGAACCATTGTTTCGCTGCGGGCCGCGGCCATCGCGAGATTATATAATATAAATTGCATGTACCAAGAATCGCCATCTTTGATTTGTTCTCCCAAGCTACGGCCTTTGTATTTCAATAGTTCATTGCTGTAACCGAGAGTCTACCCCGGTTAGGGATGTCGAAAGTTGAAAAAAATATCGATATATCGATACATCGATATTTTAAAAAATATCAATATCGGCTTCGATATATCGCGAAAAAAACATCAATATATCGGACAAATTTTCGTAAAAATATATTTAGGTCAGCAATAATAACAATACAAATTATAATTAAAGAAAGAATTATCAAAGAAACAAAATACTAAATACAGCACAAATCGTAGATATGTTGAATATCATTAATCTGAGCTTCAGTTACGATTTTTCCAGATACGAATTTAGTTAGATCGTGATATGCCGCTAATAATTAAAAAAAAATCGTTTTTGATACAAATTTCGATATTGGTTATTTTGTATCGATGTATCGATATATCGAATCAAAATATATCGGCTAAAAATATCGATATATCGAACAAAAAATATCGATATATCGATACATCGATATATTTTCAGCAAGCCTAACCCCGGTACCTCATCACCTGGGTATTAGCTGAAATAACACCTGCTCGTATGTAAGGAGGCTCCGTACCTTTAAGAGTAAACTAGAATAATTCTATTTTTTTTCTTTTAGATACGACAACCCCATCAGTGGCAACATTAATAGGTTATGAGCCCTTTTACAAAATTGCACCACTGCCGTACTAATCGGCGCGTAGGTGGATTTGCACTAGTATATTATTGCATTTACGGGCGATGTTTAGAATCTTATAAAATAATTATTAATAAACTAATTATAAAAATATATACATATTTCAGTAGTTCACTGATGGTAGATTAGTTTTATGAAAATTTTTGATAGTAATTCTATTGAATTCAATATCAAAATACGAGGTAAACCTGCATTATATTTGGGAAAACTCACGGAGGTTAATGTTTTGTTTTTGATAATTAATGAGATAGAAAAACAAAATTCTAATACATTATGTTACAACACAGACATATTTCCGATGTAGTAGTAATTAATTTGATCTAATTTATTGACCATTATTGAGAGATTCACGCATTTGAAGTTGCGCATATTATCGTTTTTTCTGTAAACTAGCTGCAGTAGAACGATCAGTACAAAAAAAGGAAAATAGTATTTGCAAATATTCTCCATTAACTTTCAATAGGAAGAATAATTCTACTGTTTACTTCTATTGGAAATAGTCAAAATCTTTTCTGAGGGGGTAAATAAGGCGCTCAAAAATTACAATTTTTTGCAAAAAATGTGAAAGGGCTCTTAATAATGATGATGTATGAAGTAGCTACCTTTGCAACACACGAAAGATCGACGCACTAACCTTCAGTTAGAAATTGATAGTTTTCTTCAACTACGGGAGGTTCACAACAAAATGTCTCCCCACATCTTTTGTACCACATCCTGACGCCGCGAATCGGGCTTTCTTCTAAGGATTCCACCACCAGGGCGACAGTCATACCATGGGTGAACACCGTTCTTTGCCCTTCGTACATGTCCATCAAAAGAGTCGTTTCGTGTACTGTCTCCAAAAATTTCCTGAGCATCTCATTCTTGTTTTCCATTGTACTCGTATCAACGGATATTATGGCAGGTCTGACCTGGTCTATCTGAAAAATAATTGTGATACTAACAAATAGATTTTAACTGATATAATTTTCCTTGAAAGTTCATTTTACTGACTAAAAAACACCCTTCAATCATGCTTATGGCCAGAAGGGCCTTACAAGCTTCATCTGAAGCGATCATCCCTGGGAAGCACTATTATTATAGTCTGTGCGGAAAGGGAATGGGCGTGGCGAAAAACGGAACTAACATTAAGATTTTTATTTGGCAATCAAACCCAGCAATCTGTAAAACGTCAAAGTTTTGTATTGATACGGATTTTTTGTTGTAGTGATTACTTGCGGTTTTTTGTATTTAATCATGTCTAAAAAGGGTAAAACCTTACAAATACGGTAGAAAAGCACTACAGCGCCCTCCAATCCAAATCCCATTCTCTTTCCGCACAGACTCTATCGTGATTTTTTCCAGGTTTACAAGTCAATAGTATTAGGATAATTTACTTTATTATGTCTATTTCATGCATGATAATTGATGTCTAAGTAGTCGTATAATATCAAATATTAAATAGTCACTGCACTTCCGGCAAGATAATTCTGAGTTTAGCATTTCCTGTGAAAACAATTAAATAGTTTACCTGATATTTTTTTATATAATAATATATGTAAAATCTAAAATAACGGTAAATAAAATATTGTACTTTAAAATGTTAATAATTTGTACTGATTTACTTTGTTTGTAAATTATTTTCTTTTGGCGCGTTTTGGCACTTCCGGTCTACGGAGAGTGCCAATAACGCTAGATGGCGAGGCATTCAGTGTTCATCAGTTGTGTAGTGAATATCTTGGAAACTGTTAATATTAAGTGTAAAATTGTGTACCGAAGATTAAGATTGAAATAAAGTGTCTAAATGCAGTTGGTTGTTTTAAAATACTGACGACAATAATAGTTTAGCTTCAAGAGTGGGGGACGCCCTACACGAAAAATAATTAGCAATTTTATTCCCTCCCTAAATCCCTCCAGATCCCTAAACCGAAAAATAGTCTTGGGAACCTTTAAGTAATTTTAAAGGACCTATTCGACGATATCCCACACGATGTGGTAGATGATGATAAATAAAATCATCTCTAGGTAACATGTAGGGCAGCTACCGGTTTTTTTTTGACGTGACAACGTCTTAAATTAGGTTGCGGCTGGGAGTCACTTATGAAAAAGTGTAACGCTCGGTAACGTTACGATGAGTCTCTCGTGTTAAGTTTAAGTTTACATGTACAATGTTTTAGTAAACAAAATATATTTCTATAGTTAAAATTTGTGCAATTCTTATTTTCATTCAATTCCTTGTTCCTATTGTGCAATTTAATTATATTCATATCAATAAATATTCTACCGAGAAAAAGACGTTGTCACGTAAAATCTTCGCCCGTAAAACCGACTTTACAGGCAACCATTTTTTTTGTTTTTATTCTACCATTTTGTCGGCGTGATTGATAAACACATCTCCATAAAATTACAGCTCTCTAGTACTTACAGTCTCCAAGCAAAACCGTGAACGGACAGACAGACGGACATGACGAAACTATAAGGGTTCCTTGTCAAGATTACGACACCCTAAAAATATGTTTCGCCAAGAAAAGACGTCTCCATTGACAAAATTACATTTGATGATACATACTTAATTGACTCACCATGATAACCATTTGCTCCATGGTCTGCAGAGGTATCGGTTTGTCTTCGTTTTCAATCAACTCTTTCTTTAATTGATTTGTATATTTCTCAAGAGTCTTCAGCTGAAATGTCGATGTAATATTATAAATTAATAAATAAATATTTCCAACACTCACACCAATTAGCCTAGCCCCAAAGTAAGCACTATAAGGCTTGTGTTATGGGATACTAGGGTAACGGATAGAATACATATACTGTACATATATAAGTATATTTTTATAGAAAATACATATTAATCCATGACTGGAGTACAAATGCTCGTATTCATCACACAAACATCTGCCCCCACGGGGATTCGAAACCGGGACCTCTCGAGTCGGCGACACCATGAAACCCGGCTTACAAACCACTCGGCCACGGCGGTGGTCAAATATTATTAATAATTTCGTTATTAGTAATTTCAACTTATTAACTGGTGATTTGTTAGTGATGTAATACTTCTTCTAAAGGTACAAGTTAAAGCAAAACTACAGAAGCGATTTAATTATAGTCCGGTCAAATCAGGCAGAGAAATAAGAGTGAAGGTGCGTAAATTTCCATTTAGTTGAAAGTTAGTAAAATTGATCAAAAATTAATAAAAAATAACACATAAAAATTCCTCATCGGTCCGGTCCTTGGAAAAATATATACTCAAGGTCAAAAGTCAAAAAAATGTTCTTTTCGCTATTTTCATCAAAACGGTTAGTTTTACCGTAAAATTACCTGAGCAAAAAATGTAAATCATAAATATATTTGATTAGGAGTCTTTATTTTCTATATCGGAAATTAGAAAAAGCAATTAATATCAATCTTTGTATCTATTTCAAACTCAAAATCAGTTCGATATTATTATTTTTTTAAATACGATAGATAACTACCGAATTTTTTGTTTCCTCCCAGGCGTGAGAGCGGCTATAAAATCCTAATGGATAGGTACTGCGGAGTTCTAGCCTGAGTGGATAGAACCTGGGGACGTAGCGATTTATTAAAAGAAACTTGATTTTATATTGATATTATTAAATTTCAGGCGAATACAAGTTTTTTAATCTAACTACGAAAAGTTTGGTGCCTGAAGTCCATCTGCTATGTGGAACCCTCTATCAAAAGACAGACTATTCCTTATTTCAAATATAAAAATCTGCTGTAACGTAACGGACGTTACAGTACCCTACAGCCGGCTGCAAGGTTACGTCAGACTCTTACTGACTAAAAACTTTATCTGAAGTGATCATCCCGTTAAAAGTGAATTATGCGGTATAACCGCCGATCTTTTCAATTGCTTTTATACTTTTTATAAAAACATAACGTTAGCGCGACTCAGAAGCCGTTGCCGTTGGTACTCGCGGTAGCGTTGGTAAACTAATGATATTTAATTTTAGTTTTTAAACAGTTTTTTTTTTTAGATTTGGTTGCAAGGCAAGGTATTACCTTACCTTGCAACCTATACAATACTTCGTCCAATAACTTCGTCTATGTCACTATTAATGTTTTCTTCAAAGGAATTTTCAATAGGTACTAAATTTTACGGGCTAAGGAACCTTAAAACGGTAATCTTTTTCCTAAGAGCCACCGTTCTTGAAATATAATGAATCAAAGTTGTAAGCGTCATGAGATGCACATTGTTTTGCTGAAAACGATGACGACGTGGATTTTTTAAATGTTACCTATTTTTCTTTTTAATTATGTTTTGAACAATTTTTATTACAAGCTTTTATTTAACTTGCTATGTATGTTTGTTACGGTCAAATCTTACAACTCAATTTTAAAGCACTTGCCCTCAACCGATTAAGCTGAAATTTGGTATGCTCGTTCAGTTCAGATGACAATGCATGATTAACAGTGTGACGTCATTCTAAATCCAATATGGCGGCATACCCAAAATGGCGGACCAATCATTTTTAATGCATTCCTACAATATGGGTATCAAATTAAAGAGCTTGCTGAGAGTAACTCGAAAAAAATGTGACGTCACTCTCAATCCAATATGGCGGACTTCTAAAATTCGAAAATCTATTTAGAAACAGATATCTTTAACTAATTTAGTTGAAATTTTCTTTTTTTCTTTTTAGCGCATTTGAATAAAAGCTTGTTTTTAAAAAGGTTTTTTTTACTCATTTCCAGTTTGTTATAAATGTATATACCTTCACTCTATTTTTCTGTCTAACTGACCGGATTATTGTGTTAATTTTATCTGAGAGCAAGCTTAGAAATAGAATACTATTTATCAGTTAGTCCAACCCATTAAACTACATACCTATAGTATTTGGTTTGGCAGTGAAGTGATTTAGTACCAGTAATGAGATACGTTACTCAAAATATTAGAAAAGTGGTATTTTGTGTTTTAAGACCCGTACATACCGTGATACTTACTATAGACTTTAACGGAACTAACTCGCACTGAATCTATCTTTTTTAGCAATAATACGTCATAAGCTTTTTTATATGACGACACACTCAGTCTCTTAGACATGGTAACATTTTAAAGCACTTAAGGTTAAGATGCTGTCGCTTCCTTTCTGATATTGCTAATTTTATTATTAATACCTAACAGATTCAGAGTCAGCTCACACCGAGACGCGACACGACGCTGTGCGCACTTTTTAATGGAGTGGCTAAAAACATAACTTTATTTAATACACAAAAATAACCTTACGCCTCGAGATGCCTCGCAGCGTAGAGTGATGCGTCGCGGCGACGACGTAGCGATACCGCGAGACGCAGTCTGAGACCGTCGTGGCTTCTTAAACTTCGTGTAGAATAGGGATGATGACTAATTTTTTTTTCTTCGTTTATCAGGTAGATTATCAAAAGTAATATTTTTTCACATAATAAAAACATTGCAGAGACATATTGATTTCAAAAGTCGCATGACGTCACGTTTGAGTACATTTTTCAGCGAATATTCACTAAAAAGTGACGTCACGAGCCCCTACTCCCAAACTTTGACGCGCTATAACTGTATTTTTTTGGTTGATTGCCCAAAGAAAAAATACGTGTCCATTATTTTTTGATCATCTAAACGATGGACTAAATAGAATTTCGTTTACTGTACCCCGTCATCACCCCTATTGATGGAATTCGGTCGAGTGGTCGATTGAAAATTAATATGAAAGACTGGGATCTTGTTATAATTGACTTCTTGCAGTAGATAAAGAGGAAGAAAGAGAAAGGAGTGGACGTGGCGGGCCAGATGCATGTGGCTAATGTATACACGTTCCGGTGCGCCGCGTAGCGTCTGACTACGCAGCGAGGCGTCGCGCTGTCAGCTATTTTACGATGCGCCTCGCGACGATGTGATGCGTCACGCAGCAGAGCGTGGCGCAGCGCGAAATCTGACCTCGTACAGTATCGTCGCGTCACGTCTCAGTGTGAATGAGGGCTACCGTTTTCTGTCTCACCAGATGGCGCCACTGTTGAGTAAGGTCCTAAATTGTAACTTTTAAAGTTTATTAATATGCACATGAAATCAAAGGTTACATTTAGATCGTATTTTAACCCAAAAGAACCATATCCTAAACATAATAGGCCATGCCACAGTGACGCCCAGTTCCGTTCAATTCGGAAAAAATGGGAACATATTCATTTTTCTAAGCTCAAATTTTTAATAACTGACATTCATTGCCACATAACTCATATTTGCCATAATTAAGCCGAATTGTAACCAATTATTCACAACATTATTTTAATAAGAAATAAACTCGCTTAGTCAACCAACAAGCAATAACATTTGACATTTCGGAGACCTCACGCTACACTAGCGCCTCTAGCGGCGGATTCATACGCGATAGCCCTCATTGACTCTCAGGCAACATGTCACTGGCATACTAAAAAAAAATTATTTCTGAGTGTTGTCTGAGTGGGAGTGCAGTTGTAAGTGTGTTTTCCTATAGTTGTATTCGTTTTTATAAGAAAATATATGTTATGCTCAAAAACCGAAAATGCGCATTGGATAAAAAAATAGCTCACGATTTGTTCTTTGAAAACAACCTTGACGCAAAATTAATGTTGTGACTCTAATGAAAACGCTCACGACCCGTTGTGGCAATCACAGAAAGATATTAGCGAAATTCTTATCGTGGCCGAAATGCTATTCGACATCAACGCGTTATGGTAATGAGAAAAAGCCCAAATTTCATAATTATATAATTTACTTCGTTTAATTAATGATAATTGTTTACGGCGTTCATAGAGTCCAAATTAAAACAACACAGTCATATTCATAAATAAACATTTAATTTTCATATTTTAAGTATATATTTATATCGATATTTATATAACATTATAAACTACATATTATGTGTAAATGCTTCTGCTTAATAGTTACACATTTAGAAACATTTATTGAAATTACCATTGCTTTGTTCTGTACAACTTGTGTTCATTCCAAATGATCATAAGTCTATTTACATTAAGTAGGTACAAGTTTTAATACTGATTTTTACAAAATATTCGAATTGCAACTAAATATAATTCCTAATCAATCGTTGACACGAACATTCGAGGGAATAATACAATGCTTCTTACTTATTTAGGAATTGACGAAAACGGAACTTTAAAGTCCAAGGGTTCCTTAAATGCATAGCGTATCAAAAATAAAACATTAACTTTATAAGTCCTTGTCAAACAATAATTTGTAATGTGTGGACTTGGCTGTATGGTAATTTGATGCCTTGGTCTTTAATCGATTTAAGCGAATTATAAAAATAACGACCATAGAGTAGCGCGCGGGTCGAAATGTCATTTTCAAAATATTGGAGCTTTTATAAATGAAGCTGATGGAATTTCATATTATTCACTTAGTTGTCCATATTGTTTAATTAATATAATAATTTTTGTTTATACTTTATGTCATTACCATAGATCATTACTGAATTCTGACACTTTGCTGCTGGTTCTAACGTGATAAAACCTAACATAATAAATTAAACTTTATCATTATCCTCTCCTCCTCCGGGCCTCTGGAGTCGATCGCTTCCGATGTAGCCTCTAAAACCCTTAATAGCCAGAGGCATACATGATCCCACAGCCGGCTGTAGGCTATCCATAAGTATTTCAACCAAAAAAATATACAAATCTTTCTAAT